TATGTGGAGTGGGAATATGGAGGTTACATGGGGAGGAGAGGGGACATGGAGGAGAAGAGGGACATGGGGATATAGAGAAATGGAGGGGAGGACATGGGGACATGCTGGGGCGAGGGAGGGAACACGTGGGCACTACCACATCAGGAAGGGCCCAACTAGGGTAAAACTCACCCCACACATGGGCAGGAGTGGGGATCTGCGTCCCGCAGGCACAGCCCTGTGGGTCTGGTTGGGGGTTTGCGCCTGTTTTCAGCCACAGCATCACCAGCTGGGGGGGACAGGGTAACGTCCCCCCGGCATGGGGCTCAGCTGTGCCAGGAGTGACGGGAGGCAGCAGTTCCACAATGGCACTTTCCCTTCCTCTGCACCCGCTCCCTCGGTGTGAATTCCAGCCGATCGCATTCGTTTAAATGCAAATAAAATGGTAAATGGGAGCTTTTCCTTTCTCAGTCAACAGAAGGAGAAGGAAATGAGCCGACATGTCTGAGGGCAGCAAGGGGAGCTCGCTGGCCTTTGGCGAGTGACGGGAGGCAGCAGTTCCACAATGGCACTTTCCCTTCCTCTGCACCCGCTCCCTCGGTGTGAATTCCAGCGGATCGCATTCGTATAAATGCAAATAAAATGGTAAATGGGAGCTTTTCCTTTCTCAGTCAACAGAAGGAGAAGGAAATGAGCCGACATGTCTGAGGGCAGCAAGGGGAGCTCGCTGGCCTTTGGCCAGGTGGTAATCGGGCCTCCAGGCTCCGGGAAGACGACCTACTGCCACGGCATGCAGGAGTTCATGGGCAGGATCGGGCGTAAGGTGTCGGTGGTGAACCTGGACCCCGCCAATGAGGCGATGCCCTACCAGTGTGCCGTGGACATCGCCGAGCTCATCACCCTACCCGACGTGATGGAGAACTTGAAGCTGGGACCCAACGGCGGGTTGATCTACTGCATGGAGTACCTGGAGGCCAACTTTGACTGGCTGCAGGAGAAGCTGGCTGCGTTCAGGGGTCACTACTACTTGTTTGACTGCCCAGGGCAGGTGGAGCTCTACACCCACCACGACGCCCTGAAGAACGTCTTCGCGCAGTTGGCCAAGTGGAATTTCAGGGTAGGCTTGGGGCTCCGCAGGGAGCTGGGGTCAGCGCCTGGCACCCCGCGTGCTTGTGCGAGGGGGTCAGAAGCTGTACGCCGTGCGGTCAGAGCTTTTGATTATGGGTACTAATGACTTTCTTTACTAACCTTTCTTTACTAACCTTTCTCACTGTTTGGCCTTTCGTGTGAAACGGCTTTATCAGGGAAGGAGAGGAATTTTGCCCCATTTTGTGCTCGGAGGGATTGGCAAAAGAGTGGCTTGTTCAGGGCATTTAGCGCAGTGGGATTATCATGAACAGAAACATTGACTCCTTCCTTGCACACTCTCGCTGTGCTCCCGGGTCCTCTCCACAGACCTTGTGTGTTTTATCCAAGTGGGTGCTGTATTTCGGAGCAGGGAGGTAGGTGTGTGCGCTGGGCGAGCGGGGACCTTTTGCACTGTGCTGTGAGAAATTCAGGCGTCATCTCAGGCCCTACCTGGCTCTCCTGCAGCCAAGCCGAATCGCTCTGCACGTTGTGGTACGTGCTCTGTGCTTTCTTGCACAATGGAAGATGCAAATGAGGAAGCACAGGTGAGAAGAGTCCCATAACCAAGCTAACTTGCTTACGTTGCATTTGTTTTGCATTTGGGCCAAACCATGAATGTGCAAACCGGGTATGGTGTGAGCAAGAAGGGCAAGTTCATTTGCTTGAGAATGTCACTGGGAATCTGCACATTAGAAATTATTTTTATTCAAATAAATGTACGTGAAGTTGCAGTTACTAAAAAAAGATAGTTACCCAGCTGTTTTGATGCTCACTCGAGTGCTTACACCTGCCTGTGAGCTTTAAACTGGATTTTTTTGCTGCAGAAGCATAGCTGTGACTCAACCACACTCGCCTGTAGAGCCCTGACTTTGAGTAACATTGTGTAACAGGCAGTAACTTAACAGAGATCTCGGACCACATTGTTACAGCTGCATGAAACACAGGGAATCAAACTGCTCATTAATTTAATTATTAATTATTATTTCAAACCACATGACAATTGGTTCTCCCAGCAGAGCGTGGTGTGCTACAGTTACTGCTCCTGAGTGCGTGAGCATTCCTGTGGGGAAGGTGGAAATCTGGAGGCAGTCGTGTCGTTCAGAATGAGAGTTAACCCCAGTTCCCACCCCCAAAAAAACCTGCAGAGTTCAGACAACTCCATCTGCAAAGGAAGAGGCCCTGAGAAAAGGGAGAGCAGGTTGCAGGTTAAAGTGTCTTTCAGTACTGCTGGTGGAGCTCAGCACCCCTCTAAGCCTCCCCACAGCCCTTTCTGTCCACCAGCACCCTGGGTCCTGAATCCCCAGGTGGTCCATGGGTGTGATTGTGGCGATATATACTTCTATATATATGTGTGCATTCATATATGAGGATGTTTTATATGCAGGAGCTAGAAGGTAGGTGGTAACTTTCCTTACGTGGGAGTCTATGTGATTATAGTCAGGTCTGAACAGATTGTCCGATAGCCACTTCTCAGGCTGTCCCAAAAGCAAGCGGATGGCCTCGTCACGGGTCTGACCTTGTGCTGTCCCTTTGTGCCTTCGCTGTCCAGCTGGCTGCGGTGCATTTGGTGGATTCTCACTACTGCACGGATCCTGGCAAGTTCATCTCTGTTCTCTGCACCTCGCTTTCCACTATGCTGCACGTGGAACTGCCCCATGTCAACATCCTCTCCAAAATGGACCTGATCGAGCAATATGGCAAGCTGGGTAAGAGCCTTTGCGAGAGAGACATGTGGAATTGGGCTGGGGAATTGGGTGCGGATTAGCTGCTTGGGTACGGGGATGGATGGCTGGGAGATGGTGGGGGAACTGGTGTAAATCTCGTCGGCTTCTTGGTGGCATGTTCTGGCCAGAGAAGCCCCAATATTTACAGATTGCTTTCAGAGTTTCTTGGTGTTTCCCTGCAGCTTTCAACCTGGATTATTACACAGAGGTCCTGGACCTCTCTTATTTGGTTGACCATTTAGCTTCTGACCCCTTCTTCAGAAATTACCGCCGCCTCAATGAGAAGCTGGTGGAGGTGATCGAGGATTACAGCCTGGTGTCCTTCGTTCCGCTCAACGTCCAGGTGATGCAGGAGGAGGAGTGGGGCAGGGAGAACAGGGAGCGTTGGATACGTAGTCAGCACGTTTGGTAGCAGCTAGGTTACGTCTGCTTAGAGCCATGAGGGCTGAAAAGCTCAACCGTGAAGAGACTTGGGGATGGAGGAGGACAGTGAAACGCACCCAGACTTGTAAATGATCTGTGGCAGCCAAAGGAAAAGAAAAGGCTAATGAGCTTGGGGCTATGTGGGCCTTGTGTCCTGGGGTGGGGAATTAAGACTCCCCCTTCATTCAGCTCTTCTGTGCCTGCATTTCAAATCGGGGCAAAGTATTACCTAAAACGTTGTTAAATTAGGGAGCAGAAAATAATTAAAAGATTGGGAGGAATACATTTGGGAGGAAGGGCTGAAAACGTTCATCTTGTAGTTTGCACAAGTGTCAACAAAGGCAAATAGGCTGAGACAAGAGGTGATGAAAGGGAGTGAGAGGGTGGAGGGTGTCAGCCCATCATGTATTCGGGCTCCAGAGGGCTTGCCCCTGGTTGTCCTAGGGCCCCTCTGGGCTCAGGGAGGCCGACAGCATGCTCGGGGCGCTGGGCGCTGTGTGGGTGGCCCAGAGCCTCAGAGAAAATCCGTGGTAAAGCCCAGCGCGAGCTCTTGCCTCCGGGGAAGGGCCGTGTTCCCTGTGTGTCATCTCCCTTCCTTTCAGGATAAGGAGAGCATGCGGCAGGTGATGCAGGCGGTGGACAAAGCCAACGGCTATTCCTTTGGAGACCAGGAGCACAGGAGCCTGGAAGCTCTCATGTCGGCAGCAGTGGGAGCCGATTTCCACTTTACTTCGTATCCTTCTCCACCAATCCTCTGTTGTGTTGAGTTTGAATTTCTCCTTCCCTGGGGAAGAGAGGCTGGAGGTGGGGCTGGCAGTTTGCAGGCCCGGGTTGTCACTAACATCATCTGGAGCTGCTTGGTGAAGAAAGTAGGGCTCAGCCCAGACCTTAGCAGTCAGTTGTCCACACCAAAGCCACCACATTTGTTGCTAATTGATACTGTGAATGTGGGGGTAATCTTTCCTCTCTGTCACACTCACTTGGACTGGTTCATTCCACCTCGTCCAAACCATACAATTGATTCTCCTGTACTTGTCGGGTCTGGGATCAGCCAGAGCCAGAAATAGCTCAGGTGATGTGTGCTGCTGCCAGTACTGCTGTTTTCCTGCCAGCCTTCAGGCTAATGTGGGGCTGGTTCTTCACTGAGAACGTTAAGAGCTCCTTGCAGAAGGGAGTGTTTGAGCCCAGCCCCTTGTTTTCCTTAATTACTGCGTTATCAGCACACTTGCAGTGCAGGAGAAGTATGTGCAATCTCAGGACAAAGCCGTGGAAGAAGAAGTGATGGATCTGTAACACACCCACCTCTTCCACAGCTGCTCTCGGTTTTGACACCTCTCTTTTTCCTACCAGGAGCTTAAGGGATCTCCGCCGCATGTGACTCAGACGAAGTGAAAGCCTTTCCAGGCAGAGTTCTGGCCGCTGGACTCCCTCTCTAAGGGTTTGACCTCTTGTGCTTCAGCCCCGCTGCACTGAGCAGCGTTTTTGCAGAAAGGGGATGGCTGAGTGCAAGGCAAGCCAGGTCTTTCCTTAGGAACAAGAGAGATTTAGCCAGGTGAAGGCATGGTTAGCAAGAGAGGAGAAACAAGATAAAGGAGACTGACCTTTGCCAAGGCTCCTCCTCTCCATCATGACCAGGGTAGTTCCAGAGAAAGAAAAATCAGTTTGAGCAGTGAGACTTGAGACAAAAGTTCTTGGTTTACCGCATAGGAGGAGTGTGCGTGGGCCTCGTACGTGGAGGAGTATGCAGGCTAAAAAGCCTCCAGTCTGTCTCAAGGAGGACAGAAAGATGGTTGTTTTTCTTTTTTTTTAAATAATGATGGACTCTTTCTTAATAAAACACTCCTTCGTCTCGCTTTCATCTTGTGAGTTTGCTGAACCTGAATAAATAAAACCAAGAGTGCTACAAAGCCCGAGGCTAAAAAGCCTCTGGTGGGAACGTCACAGCAGCTGGTGTGTTGTGTACTTTGCAGAAATGCTCCGTGTTTGCGACGTCGTGTTCCTCTATGATCTACCTGAGAACAGACAAAGCGTTTGCTGCAGGGAGTGAGGAAGAACGACTGTGGGACGTGAAAGCAGGTCACTCCTCGTGCGTGCTTATCCAGGGGCTGAACGCTGGCATTCGGTGTGCACGCAGCGTGCTGACAGCGACGCGCAAACTGCAAGCTCGGCTTTTGTAGGTTTTTGATTAAGAAAGACCCTGTGTGACTCAGCGGGAGGTTGGAGCACATCGTTTGCATTTAGGGCCTTCCCCAGCAGCTGGCTTGTCTGCCCTCATCCACCTTCCTTTTTCTGGGCTTGCTTTCTCCAGTACTTTCTCCAGATCCTAAATCCTGGGGCTTCCCCTCCTTCCCATGTAATTCCCTCTCGCTCCCGACGGTGACAGCAGCAGCTCCCAGCCTCACGTGCCACCTTCTGCGTCCCCACTGCAGACTGCGGCTTGGGTCCATCAGCGCAGTGAATCGGGAAGGTTGGGGCGATGGAAAGGAAGGTGTCCACACCGAGCAGCCTTCCGAGCACCTCCCAGCAGCTCGCACAGCCGCGCGTAGGATGGGAGCGGGCGAGAATCCCGGCTCGGTGTGCAGACTCGGCATCACTTCTTGCCCAAGACCTTGCATAAGATAAGATGGCTCCTTTGTGCAGGACAGTTTGGCCCTTAGCAGAGCGATTACAGACCACCGACTCGGTGAATCTAAATGTGAGTAGGGTTTTGCTTGTCAGGGACTCCAGCTAGGCGGGGAATTAAAACTAAATTTACCTGCGTCTCGCAGCTTTGTGGCCAGGATTTGGAGACAAGGCGGAGCTCGGGGAGAAGGAGGGAGAAGACAGGCTTCCACGCGCGCACGCTCACACGCACACGCTTGCGCTTTAACCAGATCAGTTCACAATGAAAGACTACACTGACATTTCAAATGTAAAAGTCAAATTCCTGTCTGCTGTCAGTGCTTGAGCTCTTTTTCCGAGAGCCCAGGGACTTCCCTGGGTGTTGCTGGCTGAAACCCGGCAGCCCCATTTCGGTGCTATCTGGGGCTGAAGGTCTGGAAGTCAATCTAACCGTAATCGGAGCTGAAACTCCATCCTTGTCTTGTGGCAGAAGACATGATCATAAAAATGTGAATTTTGTGGTGGCTTTTTCATGACTTTGACAAGATTTGGTATAATCGGAGCTGAAACTCCATCCTTGCCTTGTGGCAGAAGACGTGATCATAAAAATGTGAATTTTGTGGCGGCTTTTTCATGACTTTGACAAGATTTGGTGGCTTAAAAGGGTATTGTCAGGTCAAGCTGGAGTTATGCAGGAGCAATTAAAGCTTTTGTGGCTGTTTGGCTTTTTTATTTTAATGCCCAGGCAGTATCTGCAGCCCCAGCCCTGCCGGGCTGTGCCGATGCTGGAGAAAATGGAAGTTAAAGGAGATAGAAACCTCTCAGCTCAGGGAACCTCTGCCATGTCCAAGCCAAGAAATGCTGAGATCTAAAAGAGCTACAGCCTGAAAAGTGCAGCATTTTTACACCCGGTGGCTCTTTGCAGCCCAGGTTTGGAGAGCAGGGGCTGAACGGGGACCTGCAGCTCAGCAGGGACGATGCTCGCTGCTCCTGGCTGGGCGAAGCAGAAAATGGCTCTGCAGCGGGCAGGGATGCAGCCAGCTCCTGCACCCACATGTCCCCACATTGGGAGGGGACGGCCTTGCCGAGGCTCCTGGGGCTGAGGGAGGTGACACTCCGGCTCCTGTCGCTCCCGTTGAGCAATGCCAGGGCAAAGGGCCAGGATTAGTCACCCCAATTGAGGCACATCCCTGGGGGGGGCCAGGCTTTCTGCCGAGCTGGTCCTACCTGCCCTGGCCCCTCCAAGGCCGGCGCTGGGAGAGGCTGAGCCCACCCGACCGCGCGTGGGACCTCCTGGGGCAGGTCGTGTTTTTTGGGATGAAGGGGTTTGGGCTTCAGTTGCAGCTGCTGAGCTGGGGTTTGCTGTCTCCCCCCTCCATCGCTTC